AATTATAATAAATTCATTCATATTATGAGCAGAGGTCAAGTTAAATACATAGGCATAAACACAGAATGTGGCACATCTTGTAAATATTTATACGATTTTTATTCATTCTGGGGATTTTTTACAAAATCACAAGTAGGAATGTAGAAATGATAATCCATGAAGATGAGGTATGAACAAAGTAATCAGTTGAATAAACTAACCACTAAATGTAATAATAAAGGCTTAGCAATTATTAAATATTATTATTATTAACATGTTTTTTTTTTTGAGCTATAAGATTTATTGCTCAATATTAAATAAATTTGAAATCACTTTCATGATACTAGGGGGAAAATATTAAAAGTTAATGGTGCATATTTTGGCATATCSAGTTATTTTATAGTTTGAAGAGCATTTTTTTTAATTTTACCAATTTTTAGAGCTTCACTGAGTTTAAATATGATAATATGATAAATTAATGAAAATTTYTACTTGACTCTCGTCTCAAAGAGAACAATCACTTATTGCATATCATAAATAATATGACTGATGTGTCTAGAACTACAGATCATGCTAACACCGGGTTGTTAGTGGAAAATAATAGAACTAACAAAAGTTGGTTGACTAACTTATTGTTCTATTTTGAGACAAATTATGGTACAGTAATATCAACAATTATATTCTGCCATAAAACCAATTATATAATTAACATTTTAAAGGGTATTATACACCTAGCCATCAAAAATCTAACATTTTCTTCGATCAACTTGATATAAGATTTGAATTAACGTTAYTCAAAGTCTAGAATAAAAATTTCGTGCAACCCAATGAAAAAAAAAATTTTTAATTAAAATTAAATCTGCATACTTTTGGCTAGTATCTTTCATTGGTTTTTCATCAATTACTCTTCTACTGATTATGCTGGTTTTGGTAATTGGTTTGGGTTTAATGAAAATTTCTTTTTCAACTTTTTTATTTCTCCAAACCTCTTCTTTTTCTTGTTTTCTAATAAATACTTTTTTACGACGTTCATCTTTTTGATTTACTCGCACACGTTGCCTATCATTCTGCTTTGCTAAATATTCGAGTAATGGTGTACTTAAGTCCTGTTCTTGAGTTTTATCTAAGAAAGTAAAATTATACTCAACATTATCAAACATCATACATTATTCAATAAATACATAAAAATGTCAAATCATTTTTTTACTTTACCTTCAGCTGATTCAAAAAAGTGTTGAGTAGTTTTTAATGTGGTATCGATAGTCTTCTGTTCAAAATTACGTTTAAACTCTAAGAATACTGGGTTTTCGTGTATCTTACCCCAATTTGCATCTTTATCTAATTTCTTTTTTGGTATCCTCTGGTAAGGTGCTAGTTCAACAGTAGCTGGGTATTCGTCACCTTCAAAAGTTTAAAAAGTTAATTTCATCAACTCATAATAAAAAGAATTTATTACCAGTGTCATCAACAAATACGTAGCCATCAAATTTGTCGGTAAACCTATACATATCGTCTTCTTTAAGAAAATTTATGTACACCCTTGAATGATGGAATGGTGCTGCATGTGTATCACCAGGTATAAAATACATGTAATTGTATTCAGGCAGAGGAGACACTTCATTCAGAAATCTTTCTTCAGTCATAGTTGGAGGCAACCTCCGTACAACCACCTTTATAGAAAATCATGAGGTATACTTGTCATATGCAGTCAACGACATGTTTTTTATATTTTAATACATATCAATAAATTTATAAATTTATCACTCAACATGTCCAGCTTTTTTTACATAATTAACATTACGTATGTATAAAATAAAAACATTTAAATGTTGTATTTCCAGTGGCGGTTTTTTGAAATTTTTCCTTTAACATTATCTCATAATATATAARACAAAAAAGGTTAACCCTTTAATTCTTATATAAAAAAAAAACATAGCATTTAAGATATATTAGATATAAGCGTACCTATATCCGCATATAAAAATTGTAATAGCTATAAAAAAAATTACTGTCAAACCCCAAGCGCCTTGAGCGAATAATGAATTACAGCCTTGACTCGGGATCTGGGGGGGGGGGATCCAGACCCCCTGGACCCCCAGAAAAACCGCCACTGAACTATTTATCATTTTACAAACGCTACTATTGTTCTGGAGTTCAGCTAAATATCATGGCAGCAAAGATGATGATACCATACATTACTTTTTATACATAAAATGTTTAAAAGCTCCCCAGAAACTTTTCAAGTGGAAATATTTATTTTTTTAAGATAGTCACAATATTCACAAGATGAGTATTAATTTGAAGAAAGTCTATTTCGTTTTAAAAATGTATGATAGTATTTTCCACTGGTCTCTGATTTAATATTTAAATTACGATTTTCAGCTAACAATTAATATATTTGACAAATTTGTTAAGAATAAAGTTTAATAGATGCAATTGTCGACATAGTAGACGCATACAACAAGATTCCAAGAATATCAATCAAGATTATTATATTGAATTGTTTAAATATAATTAAATATAATAATATTTCTAGCATTCAACATTAAGACTGTATAGTTCAAATTTATTTTGAAATATACTAGTTGTTTGAACAAACACAAAATGATTGCACTGTGTTTGTAATTATGTAAGTCCTAGAGCACCTAAAAAATACACATTAAATGGCTYTATAGTGATTCTTAAACATTTGCTATAAATCAAGGGCAACCTCTGACTTTAATATTGGATACAGTATGACAACTGACTATTTTCTAATATTTTCTAACCAATGAAAGCTCAAATCTACACTTTCATTGTTTCATATTTCACATTGAAAGTCACATCAAAAATAACTTTATAGAATTAAGTTGTTTATAAAAGTATGATTATATTTTCAAATAAAATAATATATATACATAAAATATAATCTAATATACAAGCAAAAATTATTTAATTAAAAGGAGATAGTTTACAATCAAATAGTCTGTAACTGTGGCCATAGATTAAAAATAGGTTCTAGTGCAGAAAATATATCTTGTTATAATTTTCCAAACAACTATGCTTCAAGTAAAATCATCACATGATACAAATAATTAATTTTGTATAAAGATAGGTTTTTTTTAGATAAAATAAGGTTTTTGATAAAACTACCCAATTGATTATAATTTTTAGTTTAAATAAGAATAAACATCATCAATATTTTAATTTTAAAAAGCTATGTATTATTTAGTAATTATCATTTGGTTTTGTCTTTTGTCATAAAAAGAACAAGAAACAATTATAATTGAAAAATGGTTACTTTTTTTTCCACTATTTTTCCGATCATCTTTAGATTTCTGTCTGTACAATGCCTTAAACAGTGACAACAAAAAGTCATCAACTTTTTCAGGTGGTTTTATAACTTCAGTATTTTCTGCAACATGTATGTACATTTATTCATGAGGATAAATCTTTCAAATCTTTTCATAAGTTAATATTGCCTACCTTTTATCATTTTTGATCATTTCTTTCGATGATACWCCGAATGGCCGAATAACGTTGTACTGTGAACCCACAACGTTGTATATATTGATGTAATTTAATACAAAATATGTAAACTGTTGCGTATTGACAAAATACAAAGTATCTAGTTTAACTGTTTAAGAATCATAGCCCATAGGGCAAGAACTTAGCCTATGATAAGAATACTAAGAACGGACATCTGATGTCTGATTCAGACGATATTACTGTATATATTATTGCATGCCAAATAAATAGGTATGTCAGCAACTTAGTGATACGCACAAAATGGCGTACGTCGTTCGCCTATTATCAATTATTATTGTATCAGTACGAAAGTATCGCGCTATTACGTTATCACAAGTAGTATTTAGTCCAATGAGAAGAGGCGAACGTCGGCAGCCATATTTGCGCGGTAATAGTTGCAAACTAGCATATTGCTGACATACCTATTTATTTTGTCRTATTGTATATTTTGATARYAATATTATTTATTGTGTTATTGTTATTGTCACCAGTGGCGCAACTTGAAAATAATAATTCCATAATTTCTTMGTGATGGGGGAGGGGGAGTTAAATTTTTACAATATATAAATATGATATTAGATATCATACAGGTAACGAAAATCCAAAATTTCAAGTGATGTTATGACTGTTATAAGCCCCAATGCCACCTGTCCTAACAGACGTCAGACTGGCAACTGGCTGCGTGATTGCGTCACTGATTTTYATCGACCGACGAACACAGAGTAAAGTTATTACAATTATTATTATCGTTTGATACTGTTAATCAGACAACAATATTTATGATCATGAGCTGTTATTGTAGAGTAGTACCATAGACCTTATACTTATGAGTATAAGGTCTATGAGTAGTACCAAGGTTAATATAAATAGATATTATATAATATATAATAATTATCTATTTATATTAACCTTGGCCTTGTACTACCTGCATATCAAGGCACTCTAGTACCTAGTACCTACTAGTTACTACCCTGCAGTAGGTTTATAGATAATTTATTTTATTAATTAATTAAATTTTTTTTTTCAATCTTATATTCTTATTTCAAGTCTCTTAGACTT